TCTATTTAACTCTTGATGGTCACTTCTTACGTCCCAATGAATTAAACATTTTGTAAATCCTTGGATGAAATTTAGCCTGCTTTACTGCACCACTTACAATGTTTTATTGTTTTCTGACACGGTTCTTAAAAATTAGATTCCCGACCAATATGGATTCTTGGGGGCAAATGCCAAATTCGATGCCAATGTGTATGTATATTGGCCAAGCAATGAGTTCACCTCCATTACAAATGTGAAATATTTAAATGTCCCTCTTTGTGATTGTGAAACAGCCTGTATTCTAAAAAGAATTCAGTGGACATTTAATTGCTGAGCACAGCTGCCTCTGTTGTCCTCACCTCTGTTTGACTCTGTGTGCAGGAAAGAGTGGGCCGCCCTGGGTAACATGGAGAAGGAGGATGCCATGGTGGAGTTCGTCAAGCTGCTTAACAAATGCTGTAACCTCTTTGCTCCCTATGTCACCTCACACAAGATTGAGAGGGAGGAACAGGAAAGGAAAAGGTAACGCGTTCAGCTGCAGTTCTCATGCAAGAGATCCCTCACCTGCAGTTTCTAAATATACTTGCATTCAGTTTGTCCTTTATGAAGCTAGAAAAACCTGGAGGCGACAGGGGAAATATATTTATGAATGTAATGTGTATATATATATGGTTTGTTATTAATTTGATACGTTTCATCATTTACGACATCCCTTCATGTCTTTGTTTCTCAACAGGCAAGAGGAGGAGGAGCGTCAGCGGAGAGAAGAGGAGGAGAGGGAGCGACAAAGACAGGAGGAGGAGAGACGGAGGCTTGAGGAGGAGGAGAGGCTTAGGAGAGAGGAAGAGGAAAGGAGACAGGCAGAGGAGGAGAGGCTACGGATTGAGCAGCAGAAGTATGTGTGTCTGTGTGTGTTTGCTTAATGTGCATTTGCGTGGGCCTGCAGATATTGATTTGACTTCAGCATTACTTCTACATGGTCATCACACTCCTCTGACACTGATATCGACAGGGGCACTGTCTTTACAGCTCTGTTCCAGAGATTCCAAAATCTATTCACTACTTCTCTTCTTTCCATTGTCCACCACTGCCTCCACTCTTTTTCCATCCTCACTAACTTAACTGCTCTGTTTTCTTACCCAGACAACAGATAATGGCGGCGCTGAATGCCCAGACAGCAGTGCAGTTCCAACAGTATGCTGCCCAGCAGTACCCCAACAGCACAGAGCAGCAGCTCTGCCTCATCCGTCAACTCCAGGAGCAGCACTACCAGCAGTACATGCAGCAGCTCTACCAGGTGCAGCTGGCCCAGCAACAGGTAGGAGGAGTTTATGGATATAGTTTGATTATGTTTTGTAAATATTAATCATAAATATTGGTAACTTTTCTGTAAAGCAACTGCTGTTTTGGAGTGGTGAAGAAGAAAGGATTTCTAGGAAAAGAAATGTACATTTTCACCAGTTTTCCCCGCTTTGACTCGCTGTTGTCTTCCTCTCGTCTCAGGCAGCCTTACAGAAGCAGCAGCAGCAGGCTGATTCGATGGTGCAGGGGACACTGGAATCTAGCAACTTTAACAGCGGTGAACATGTTCCCGCATCAGCAGCCGGACCGCTGTGCGCAGCTTCGCCTGTTGGGGAGGAAATCCCTACGGTCAACGGAGGCCAGTCAGACTCGTACTCTGAGAGCATGGACCGGGAGCCAGAGACTGAGCCGGCAGAGGAGGTCTCAGAGAATGGACCTTTATTAGGTTGGTGGACTGTAGCTGTGTTTACAACAGGAAACAACAAACATGCTCATTGGAGTTATAGAATCTACATTTTGCTTGTTGTGTGGCTAATGGCTACAGGGCAGAGGGGGCAAATCTTTCTATCTTACAAACAAACCTTTCCACCAAACTTGAAACCTGAGTCTTACTTGCTGTGCCCTTGTTGATGTGACCTGGAGGCCAGGGAAGAGGAGAGCTAGAACAAGTGACACATGATAGTCTGCTGGTTTAGGTATCATCCACTTTGGGGTATCATCCGATTGGATAGTAAGCGCACACAAACCTGGAACAAACAAGGCCATAGTTTTATTCCAAAACTTGCACCCAAGTAAAATTAATCCACTGTGGCTGTGATCTGTCAAAATAAGGTTTAGCAAAGATGGAGGGATGCGTAGTGTAATAAAGATACTAATCAGTTTCTTGTTCCTCGATCATAGCTGACTCCCCACCGGTCATTGCTGCTCCCTCCATGTGGACACGGCCACAGATCAAGGACTTCAAGGAGAAAATACGGCAGGATGCAGACAGTGTGATCACGGTGGGGCGCGGCGAGGTGGTGACGGTGCGGGTCCCCACCCATGAGGAGGGCTCCTACCTGTTCTGGGAGTTTGCCACGGACTATTATGACATCGGCTTTGGGGTTTTCTTCGAGTGGACGGACGCCGCCTCTGCTTCAGTTAGTGTGCATGTGTCGGAGTCCAGTGACGAGGACGAGGATGATGAAGGTGAGATGTGCGTGGGAGGCGGTTTGGTGAAATAAGCCTGCTGCGTGTCTGATAGAATCACTCTCATGCGCAGCAGCAATGTCCTACCAACCTGTGGCGGTGAACGCGTAACATTAGCCCACATTTACAGGCAAATGTTAAACAATAGTGTGTAAAGGAAGGAACACGACAAAGTTAGTGAAGCACCTGACGATGCACGGGATACATGTGACAGCAGAGGGATTCACCGTGTTTGACTGCATGTGTGACTGCAAGTATCGATTAAGCACCAGTACCCAACCTTAGTTTTATGATTGGTGTGTTTGCTCTCCTTAAATGATCTGTTATACTGACTTCCTTTACAAGAAGTCAAAATAGAAGCTGCTGGCTCTCCCTGATGTTTTACTGTTAAAAATAAATTCTGTAGATGAATCATGATATTCGGTTCACGAATATTGAATGTTGTATCTCTGTATCTGCTTTTTAATGAAATGTCAAGTAATGATTTAAAAACAGTTGTTTAGAACAGGAACATCTGTTTTCATTTTATTTATTTATTTAGCTTAATTGATCAACTTATGGAGAGACAAAAAACTTACCAGGTTTATGGATTTTCTTTCCTGCTTATCTCATGTTCACAACAGGCCGACACCATTGTTAAACATACATTTGTTCTCCCAGGGGCAAAGGAACTCCTGTTTGTGCTTTATACGAGAATCCAGAGCATGGTGATAAAACATTGATCAGATATGAGGCTGTATTGTGCTGCAGAATTGGCTTTGTCGGTTCAATTGAGTTTACACATAACAGTCCTTCCTTTCAGTGGTGTAAGTCCTGCCCATGGTTAGGCTGTATAGTCTTACATTTGTGCCACAATCCTGAGTATGCAGGAGGAAACCTTCAGCGAATAAAATAATATTAAGAAAGTTATTCATTTGTTTCAAAGTTAAATATTCTTCAGCCCTCTTGTAAAATGTCCAGAAAAAAAGAGGTGGCATACATGAAGAAGACACTGATGAAGATGTAAACTTGGGAACACCATGAGATTCGAGAGCTTTTGATGATTAGGCTGACGCCGATGTTGATGTGCTATAAACAAAAACACAAGATTTCTGCAGCAGATTTTATATACTCTGTCCTGCCTCCTGCCAGCTGTACCCTGGCGCCACCTCATGTTCTAGGCATTTTCCTGTTTTTGTGAAAGGCAACATCCCGAGAATGTCTGGACCAGATTTCCTGTAGTTCATGTCTGAAAACTCTTTTCCTTCTGTATGTGCCATTCAAAAAGATGAAACTTGCATATTTATTGTGTTTCCTTCCTGCCTTTTTACTCAACCTGACATGTTGCTCTTGTGCCCGCAGGAGATCCTCCCAGTGAGGAGGAGAAGGCAAAGAAGGAGGCAGGGAAGCCCCAGGTGGACGAGATTGTGCCGGTGTACCGGCGGGACTGTCATGAGGAGGTTTACGCCGGCAGCCACCAGTACCCCGGCCGTGGAGTCTACCTGCTGAAGTTTGACAACTCCTATTCACTCTGGCGCTCCAAGAGTGTTTACTACAGAGTCTACTACACCAGATAAGCCTGAATACAGACACGGGGGGAGCCAAGGAGTGTGTATGTTCATATATCTATATGTGTATGTGAGAGTGTGTGTCTGTGTCAGTGGAGATTTGTGCGATGGCAGCCTGTGTGTATGGAGGAGAAAGCGCTACCATATATGTTTTGGACAAAACCACCAGAGGGAGACAAAGAGGCACATGTGGAGCCACAGTCTGGAGATTCGACTATTATTTATGTACCTTGTGTGTATGCGTGTCCCAAGATGCACCCATGCTAGATCCTGACATCGAGCCCACGGAAGAGGAGTGTGTATTTCTGTTGTATATTCACCACCTGTCTTCGCTGTGCTCACGTAGACCAAGCTGTAAGACTTCGCTCTCATGTTGTGTTCAACCGCTCTTCACCCTGGGCTCCTCTCATGTCAACACCCCAGCCCCCACACTGTCCAGCGTGGCCTTGTGGCTGCTTCTGCCCCTGAGTGATGCTCTCATGACCATCAGCGGACACCAGGCGACTGTGCCAGCCAAGCGTTTCGAGTTTGGCAGTAACAGCGGTTGTTTATCCCACGAGAACACAGACAATGTTGAAAAAATCTTACTTTACTGAAAATGTACTCCCTGACACTATAACGTTTTGTTTCTCAGAGAGCTACTGGTCTTTGCCAAGTCTTACTAACACTTTACAAAAACAACTGTACACACACATCTTTTTTAGTAGTCCCTCATTCTCTTCCCATGTAACCATGCATACATGAAGATCTGAGAGGATGCTCTGTGGAAGCACTGCTCTTCTCTGCCTTTTCTCATGTAGATGTCACATTTTATTTGTTCGGGTTAATTTCATCAGTGCATCAGGAGTAAGTTTCTTATTTTTTGGATTGTAGTTTGCCTGCAGAATTTATGAAGGACGGGCAAGAAGGCATTGCAGGGTTTAGCAGAAGCTCCAAATGAAGTCATGGGTGTTAATTGAGAGATAATAAAATAACCCAACACATGGTTAATGTATGGCTGTGGGTCTAAACTCAAACATCTCAGTGTGTGATGCAGATTAAAAGATTTAAAAACACATTGTTTCTCCTACAAATATTTTTGTGTGTAATGCCATTTCAGTTTTATTCCACCTTCAAGCAGTTGACTCTTGTTGAGAGTCTCTGTTGTTATGGTTACGCCACATGAATATGAAATTCAGTCATCAAAAGAAACGACAGTGTATTAATACAGATGTTATATTGTGGAGCGAGGTGTTTGTGTCGCATGTTTGGAGTGGCTGTACTCAGTTCTGACACGTCGAACAATAAAAACTCAATGATTCAGAGGTCATGACACACTGTTACATCTCTGCAGCGCTCAAATAACAACACAAACACAAAATACAGCGCTTTTGTTTTGTTTTGTTTCCAACTTGTCACCTCAGACATTGTGTCGTGAAATAAACTAAGAGGATGTACTCTTCTAATTGTGTCTTGGGTAACTAGGATGTGACATCAAAATGTATTTTACTTTTCTAATTTTTTTTTTTGTTGTTGCCATAATTTAGACTCATCCTGTTTTTCGGTTTCACATTTAATATGCAAGTTTGTTTCTGTACCTTCCACCTGGAGCATTATGTTATCTACCAACTGTGGGAATCTGACCATTGTTTGTTGAATGGGGGCATCAGAGACATTTGGTTTCACTTTGCAACACTTCTTGCGCTGTGTTTGTTCATTTTTATGTATGTACGCAACCAAACCTTAAAGACGCAGGGGTGGAGTATCTTACAAGTTGGTTTCTCCTCCACTCTCCTTTTGGATTTGTCATATTTAATTGGAGGCCGCTCACGCCTCCTGCCCGTTCAGTGATTTGTGTAAGATACGTCACTACCTATGGCTCAGACCAATCCATACAGTTCAAGCAAGTTCCCATATCTTCTGATGTGCGATGTTTGTTTAGTTTCTTTTCTTCTTAAGTTTCTTAATTGCTCACCAAATGGTTTGAGTCGACTTGTTCAAGCCTTGTATGTAAATAATTCTACAAAATGACTTTATGTATGGGTTTTTAGATGTGGAGGAAGGCTATTGTTTTCAGAATAAATGCACTGTAAAATATGGTGAATGAGAAATGTATGCATTTGACTCTGAATGAAAGTCCAAAATTCACAGGAAGTATAAAACTGCTCTATTGACATGAAAGAGAAACTCATCTTTTTTGTATTGTTTTGACTTGTTTGGATCTCTTCTGAGTTGGGGCGTATATTTAATCTTGATTAAACTTATGTTCATGTCTAGAACTGGACCGTTAACTCATGTTTGCGTTTTTTTAATTATTTCAATATGATCACATCTTAATGCTATGTGTCTTGGGTTTCTAAATCTTTTAATGATTTACTGCCTTGAAACAGGATTCCAGAGATTACTCCCAACAGACATTTTATCCTATCATAGCATAAAAAGCACGGGTGGATCTATAATAAGAACGGTTGCACACGGTCTGTGTTTACTTTTCTATCACACATCAAGCACTTGGCTCCCTGCCTCGTCTGGGAGATGCAGAAAACATATTTAGAAATAAGCAGTAATAAGAGGCATTGTTAGCAATGGGGGTGAACAAATATGACTTATGAACAGCAAAACACCACTCGGCTTGTTTCCCTTTTTTCCAGCAGCTGTGGCTTTGTCATCCTCGAGCTCCCTTCCTGTCAAAAACCTTTTGTGCTGAGAGGGGCACATATTGCGGATGTTACTAATGTGTACGAGGAGGATACACCTCAGTTTATTTCCCTTGTGATGCACATTGGATGTCACAATAGTCTGAGTAAAGTTATATGGAGCCAAATCAGGGCCAATTGTTCTGTCAATTTGAAAAATAATTATTTTAATTTTGAAAGTTTGAACCTTGAAAATGTATTCAAACTAAAATTTAGTGTTGAAAACTTATTTTCAAATTAAATTTCATTTTCATTCAATGCTGGAACTCTTGAATTAAATGTTTTCATTTTTCACTTTCATGAATATTTTGATATGTAGTTCTTATTTTTTCGTCTGCAGATTTTATGTTTTAGATTCAGATCTCAAATTTTTTTTAACTTTCCGATCTTTATTTCAATTTAAAATTGTATTTTTTCAGTTTCAAATCAATGTTTATTTCACTTTCAGATGGAATTCAGTCAGTTTCAAAACCAGATTTCTTTTACTTTCTGATCTTTTTCCCTTTTACAAATTGTATTTTTTCTGTTTTAAATCCCTTTTCAGATCTTTATTTCACCTTCATGTTGTCATTTTGGTTTCAAATCACTTTTTTTCAGTTTCAGATCTTCATTTAACTTTCAGATGGTATTTCATCAGTTTCTTTTTACTGCTTACAAATCATATTTTTTCACTTTCAGATCCAATGTGTGTCCTTCTACATCAGCTTCATACACTAGTATTGAGAAACCTTTTAAACTTCTGCCACACAGAGTTCACACAAGCTGAAGAGTAATTTATAGATTTTAATTCATCTCAGTAGTGAGAACACAAAACAAACGAATCTGGCCCGAATGTGACGTCCCACCTGACTGTGTTTACATCCAGACACCAGGGGGCACAATAAACACCACAGACACCTTTTTCCCAACAGGATGCTGTTTTCCACAGTTTGCAGAGACTCCATTGAACTTGTGGCCTGTGTGTCCAGAAACTGAGCTGATGATGTGGATGATGAGAGTTAATCTGTGGTGGTGGACAGGACGAAGGCTCTGGAGGAGATAAATCAGATACTGGTGTCCAGAGAATGTGTTGTTCCTGGGTTATTTGAAAAGGTACGAACGAACGAACAACTGGAAGAGAAGTGCTGGTGTGTGTTACTGTGAACAAGTGCTCACAGCATGGGAAATGTGTATCCTAATGCTATGCTAACACTTCAAAGCTAGGAGCTTGGTTTGCCGCTGGTTAAAATCAGTGCAGTAAAGAAAAATGCCATGCTAATGCTTATGCTAACGATTTTAAGCTAGGTGTTCGGTGTGCCTCAGTGTGACGTCAGTGCAGTAAGAAAAGGCCATGCTAATGCTATGCTAACGTTTTTAAGCTAGGTGTTTGGTGTGCCTCAGTTTAAAATCAGCGCAGTAAAGAAAAATGGTTAATGGCTAATACTTTGCTAACAGCTAGGTTTGGAGGGTCCTCCATTTTAAAACACATTCTGGTTCCCACACCTTTATTTGGTTTTGTTAATTTCAAATGAATTTGATTAATTTCAAGGTGGCTTTGAGGATTGATGTGATTCATTTGATCTATATAATCTAAACTGGCTCTGTCGTTTTTATTCGCTGTGATTGTTTCCTCCTGTCTTTCATTGATTTGCTGTTTTATGTACAGCACTTTGTAACTATGTTTGCTATATAAACATTATTATTATATTAGACTGTACACTATATAACGTCATAGCTGAAATATGATAACGGGAACAATGTCGACTGGAAAAAAGTTTAGTTTTACAAGAGGAAAATCGTTTGGTAAGAATAAGGTTGTAAATTTATGAGAAAAAAGTCATAATATTACCAAAATAACGTCATAGCCTCCTGTTACACTACGGGAATACAGTATATTTCTTATTTTCTCGTTATATCACAACTTTATTCTTTATTATTTCTCATCGAATTACAACTTCATTCTCACAATATCATGACATCATCCCCTGAATTTCAAATCTTCTTCTCTCGGTCAGTAAAACTTTGTCGTAGTTAACAGAGAATGAACCGAACAGTGACAGTTTGTTCTTCGGTTCGTGGGCAGTGTCCCTCCTGAGGATTCATCGGAAAGATCCGGTCCAGGTTTTGCGTCAGTCCGCTCCTTTGCCTGTGAGTTGGAGGCAGGTAACTCTCCTCAGAGTCTGGCTCCGGTTCCAGTAGCTACAGGTGGTTAGTAGTATTCTCCGGGTCTTTAGATGCACTTTCCCTTGTTTTCCTCTCTCCGCTCCGTCTGCTTGAATTTGAAAAGACTTGTGGAAGCAACGTCTCGGTGACCAGCAGCACAAAGTCCCCACGCTTTGAATCCCCAGAATATGGCGGGACTGCAGGATTATACTGCCTCACTCATATTGCGATCCACGGGACGACAGTGCGTGTTGACTTGGTTTTAAGGTTGCGGTGTTTTGCGTGAATCCTTCTCGGTCTCGCCGGAGTTCCTGCTATGAAATAAAACATGCCTTTTAATCAAAGGATTGTTGAGCCGCGCCGCGTGAGTCGGTTGTCGGCGAGGGATGTCTGGATCCGGGGGGAGGAAGCCGGGAGACGCAGGCTGCGGAGACCGGTTCTGTTCTCGTCCCTGGACGAGGTTTGCTGTCACACTTTCACCAACATCATTCACCAACTTTCAGACCTCTCTCGTCATGCCAGCGACATCTTCCTGGGCATCGAGATGGAGGCGGGGATGGTGCTCAGAAGATCCTGCAGGATCCAGGGGCGCCTGCAGTTTCTGCAAGATGAAGTACTCAAGTTGGATCCCAAGAAAGTCAAAATCCGTAAGTTTGCAATGTTGCCCACTTGTTTGTGATCTGCAGTGTGAGATGGAGCTTAAGTGTGTGCATTACTTATATAGTGAGGAGTCACTATAAACGTCCAGTGGAGACCCACATACATGTCATAGGAATATTACAGGTGTACATGTAGATATATTTATATACAAGAAATCAATGGTTTAGAGGGAGGGATCACTGTAAACCACAAATAGAGACCCACATACATGTCATAAGAATATCACAGGTGTACATATATATTTGAGTGAAATATAGATATATACATGACACCAATGATTTATTATCACGTGTTGATTAACAGACTCCCGACAGAAATACTTATAAAGTAAGTTCTTAGAAGAAATAGATCAATATTTGCACATCTACATGATGTTATAATGTTGTCATTGGTGTGAATGGATGCTGGTCAAGTCCAAGGCGTCTGTCACAAAGAACCATGTAGGAGTGACCGTTGTCTCTGGACCACATGGCTTTGCTTATGTTAATAAGGGTGTTGAGTCCTGTCAGAAAAGATTGATCTTCCCTCAAAGCACTGACCATCTGTGTTCAGGTCCTTGCAGAGATCACAGAAAAAGCCTCACAATCTTCTTTTTCTTCCTGCTGCTTAACGTATGTAAACAAAGTTTGTCAACACAAAGATAAATGGAAAATCAATGTTCCTTTTGGCTTCTGTTGTTTTGTGATTTGTTTGGATTAGCCCTGTCAAGTTATCTCCGGAGGTAACAGGGGTTACGTATTAACTCAGACTTTGACTCATGCTATGGTGAGTCAGTATACATAAAGATAGACATGTTCTCTTGTCTGCTTTGATACAGTAGACTATCTACGACTAATACTATACCACTGCTTCCAATTTAATGTCTTGTGATGTTATAAGGTTTAAAAACATTGTAGTTAATGGATGCAAAGTAGGTTTTAGAAGGTGAGCCTAAATTCCTCTGAACATGAGGGAGGGAATCAGATGTAAGTTCTGACTAATGTGCCTTTTGTTTCCTCTTTTTCTGTCCTTCCCATCTATTCACTCTGTATTGTGCCTGACTCTGAGTCACTCTCTCTCTCACACACACACACACACACACATACATACATACACCTACCTATCACCTACAGATGTTCGGGTGACTTGCTTTTTAGTCTCCATAAGTAAGATATGTCCCCAAAATATAACTGTAAACAGATTTAGGCCCCAACAACATGAGCAATACCAGATTCACAGCACAGATTCACAACTGGTTGCAGGGAAAAGATAAGCTGACCTGACAGTACCCAGACACAAGCGAATGTGATGTATGATGAGCAATGAGTTGAAGATACACGCACTGATTAGTCAATCGTGCTGTGTTTAGGGGGGGTACTATGCTACAAGACAGCTACCAGACATTGAGCTAATCCCCTGTGTTATTGCGTGGCATGACTCGACTGCTCCCTCTTATCTGCACATTTATACATTACATTTATCTGTTGAAGTTCAGATTCGTACCTGGGCAAGGTTGGGAGTTCTTTTTTTATAAAGGTTGAGACAGTCCCTCACTTAGTCACTGCAGCTCAAGACAAGGTGTGAGAGAGTTGACTGGAATGCAGTGTGTTACGTCTATACTGATCTGCAATAGCCAGCTCCTTCATAGCCCTAAGGCTGACACTGGGTGTATAGAAGCACTGACTTTAGATTCATTGGAACACATGTTAGTTGTTCTTTCCTCACAAACAAATACCTGTTATTTAAAAAAAAAAAAAGGTTGGCATCAGCATTTATACAGGGAGGGAGTGGAGGATTTGAATATGTCAGGATAT